TTCTTCACATAAGCCCTGCTATTGCTATAGCTCTAAAGCTTGGGATCTAAGTTCTACTGGATCAAAAAGAGTCCCAGACAGGCATTCCATGGCCTTGCTTTGCATTTTGGCTCTAAATAAACACAAGTCTTAAGGCTCTAGCCTACAAGTAGGCTGAATGTTTGAAAAAAGCTCCAGAGGTCATGGAAAATCTAGAAATGACTAGCCTGTCTGCATCACATAGCTCCTGTCATTCCAATAGCAGCATGTGAGGCTGGGAAGATGACTGCAGTGGGGGCTGCACTGACTGCGTAGAGTGCAGTTAACCCCAGGAAAAAAATGTCTGTATGTTTTACCCTCAGTCTACCAAGTACTTTTAGTGATGTTCAAGGCCAGTGGAATATAGTATACAAGATTATTTTTTCTTTATACACATAAAACTGGAACACTGTGTGCATAGATTAGATTTATTAATGTTAAACATGTACTCAACTGACCAACAACAACGTGAACATACATTTACCAGGATGTTCTATTCAATGGTCACACATCCTGATGTTCCTGGGTGGAAAATACCATCTCCCCTTTCCTAGCCTACTGCAGGTTATCTCTAGGCATGAGAACAACCATCCAGCCTAGAACTGGTCTAGCAGTGTATCAGAGGTGATAGTGATAGGATATTTTAGCTCTGTATCTCATCCACTTTGCTTGTACAGCATCCTCCTCTGAGTATTGTGAGTTCCTGCTCATAGTCTTCTGTAGGATGGGAATGAAAGAATTACAATTGTCTGAGTCACCCGCTGACATTTGTCCTTCATGTCCTGATTTTCTTCCTCCTTCTGAAGACGAACCGAGCTCTCCAGGCTATACCATCAACTCCCCTCTAGATGCATTGGATTTCATCACTAAGACCCACATAGCTCTTTCTGGCACGGCTTTCCCCTCCCTCCCAAGGCTGCATATTTTACTAATTTATTTCCATCTGCAAATAAACATGAAACTTATGTTGACCTCTTTTACTTCTAAGCATAGCCATAAGCTGTCTGTACTTCCTTTATGGTTCTTAATCTGTCTCTGTTTCCTTCACTGGACACCCTTCTTAAATGAGTATACAACTGCCTCCAGGCCCTATTCTTTCTCTCCTCCTAGTCCTTTCCAATGTGCTTTAATCCCTGCCTATGAAAGCAAAATCTACTCATTGTCACCAAGGGCTTCCACCATGCTAAGTTCAAAGTCATGCCTCAATCCAGCATTGCTCAGTGCACCTAACCCAGTATTTCAGGATACCACAGTCCTAACTCACCAGTGATTTTCAAATAAGACACTGCTGCATCATCCACTTCTTTCTTATCTCCTAATGTTTCCCCAGGAAAAATCCATAAATGATTTCCTTACTCCCTGGAAATT